GCATTTTTGAAGCCCAGGCTTAGATAATTTCAGAATTGAGTTTCATAAACTCTTTAGATTTAAATCCTGTACTTAAATTAAAAAAATTTTTGTTCTATTACCGTTTGGGGGGGAGAGGTTTTTTTTTTAACCATACCCAGCAATGCTCGAGCACTAGTCCCAGCTCTGTGCCAGGATTCACTGTGTTTGAACTCACAAAAGACAAGTGCCTTCATCGCTATACTATCTTAGTCCTGGAGATTTAAAAAAAAATAGAGGCAACAACCAAACAATGCTCAGCAATTTGGAGATACTCTCTCTTAGCAAAGTTCCGTTTGATACTTGCTGGCTGGCTGTGACCCTGGATACCCAGGGCTATATCCCATTATACTGAGGTTGGCAGGGATTAGAGGAACTGGGAATCAAACTCATGCACTAGACAAATGCTCTACCCCTTGAACTATCCTTCCAGGCCTCCCTTACTGTTTGAAACTACTGAGGTTCATAGAGAAAGACTTAAATAGAACCTGAATATATTTTATGAGTCTAGTATAATCACAATACTAAGTCAAAAAAGTTGTCAGAATGGATGGACTTCACATGACGTCCATAGAAAAACCATCATTGTAGAAAAATTATCAATAAGGTGGACAACAAAATTCAAGAGGGTAACAAAAGAATATAAAACTATATGTCTAAAAATTGTACAAAATGGAATTAAAAGAATCATTCCACACTAGAAATTTTATCAGGACGGCTGATCAAAAGGCTAGAGCATAGGCCTGGCATGCAGAAACCACAAGTTTCATCTCTGATACTGCTTAGTCTCCAAAATGCCACCAGATGAGGCCACGGTGACACTCAAGCCATAGTCATTGGGTCCATGCCTTGCACCATCCAACCCACACAGCTCAGCTAAGTAACATTTTAAGTAATCCCTGAGCCACTGACCAATGGTAGGTCCCTACCACCCTCCACAAAAAAAGAAAATGTATCAACTAAAGAGAAACATACTCAAAACGGTTCCAAACATTTTTTCAGGGCTGGAGCAATAATACAGCAGATAGGAGCTTGCTGTACACACAGGTGACTTGGTTTCAACCCCAGGATCTCATATGGTTCCCCAAGTCTGCTAGGAGTGATCCAGTGAATACAGAGCCAGGAGTAATCACTAAGCATCTCTGGGTGTGGCCCCAAAATAAAAATTAAAATAATGTTTTTTAAGTTTTTCCAAAAAAAATTAGCCAGTCTAATTAGCCAGTCTAATTTATCGCTGGAGCGATAGCACAGCGGGTAGGGCGTTCGCCTTACAAGTGGCCAACATGGCCGACCCGAGTTCGATTCCTCCGCCCCTCTCGGAGAGCCCGGCAAGCTACCGAGAGTATTCGATATGCCAGACACAGTAACAACAAAGTCTCCAATGGAGACGTTATTGGGCCTGCTCGAGCAAGTTTTTCCAAAAAAAATTAGCCAGTCCTATCCAAAGGAAAATTTTTTAAATTAAATATTATTTTTTTAAAAAGCAGACATGTTCAATCCAGGGTGTATACTACCACCAATGTTATTCATGTGTGTTCTTTGTTTGTGGGATACTTCAGGCTCTGCGCTCAGGGATCACTCCTGACAGGACTCAGGGGACCATATGTGGTGCCAGAAATCAAGCCTGAGTTGGCAGTGTGCAAGGCAAATACCTTACCCACTGTACTATCTCTCCAGTCCCCAATTCATATGATAATTTTAAATTTTTTAAAGTTGAATCACTGTGAGATAAGGAGTTAAAAGGTTGTTTATGGTTAGGTTTCAGTCATATAATGCTCCAACACCGTCCCTTAACCAGTGTACATTTCCCACTACTAATGTTCCAGTTTCCCTCCCAACCCCACTGCCTACCTCTATGGCAGGCACTTTTCTTCTCTATGTTTCTGACTCTCTTTCTCTCACCACTCTTTCCTTTTGGTCATTATGATTTGCAATATAAGTACTGAAAGGTTATTGTGTATATCTTTTTTTACCTACTTTCAACTCTCAGTTCTTGTCCAGAGTGATCATTTTAAACTAATATTGTCATACTGTCATTCGCTATCATAGCTGTCCTAAGCCCAACATACACCTTCAATCAATTTACCAGTCCTTCTTGTCCCTGTTTTTCCTGGCTTTGGATATTAATCTCATACTATTTTTATATCCCACAAATGAGCGCAGTCATGTTATAGCTGTCCCTCTCCTTCTGACTCAATTCATTCAGCATGATACTTTCCATGTCCATCCATATATAAGCAAATTTCATTACTTGATTTTTCCTAACAACTGCATAGTATTCCATTATGTAGACTGACCATAGTTTCTTTATCCAGTCGTCTGCTCTCAGGCACCTGGGTTGTTTCCAGGTTCTAGCTATTGAATTCACATGTTTTTAATACGTCAGTTGAGGCAAAAGAAAATGAGGAATTAAATCACCTTATCAATATTGGTAAAGAAGAGCTAAAAGAAGAAGAAGCTTATAGAAGCTACTAAGCTTAGAAGCTTATAGAAGCTACTAAGTCTGTACCCTGGATTCTCAGGAGGCCATGCAGTGCCAGGGATTGAACTCAGGGCTCTACATATGCCAATCAAGTACTTCATTCATTGGAGCTATCTCCTGGGCCTCCTCTATAATCTATTTGATAAATGAGAGAAAAAGTCACTCATGCACATCACAAATAATAAAGTACCTAAAGATTAATTTAACAAGGAAGACACTAGACCTATTTAAAGACAGAATAAAACACAAAACAGAAGCACTAAAAAAACTTAAAACATGAAAACTACAGATATACAGATACCATGATTATTTTGGAGTTAAATATAACATAGTTTCTTTTTCAAGTTAATATATAAATGCAAGAAATGATCATCATAATCCAATTTTGAGTATATTCTGTAACTGGATAAAATTAATTATATAGACAAAAAAATCAAGAATAGTGAGAAAATACCAGAAATAAAATGTTACCAGATACAGATCTCAAGTTTTAAATGATCACATAAAGCCACTAAAATCAACATAAGATATTGGTCCATGAGAAAATTCAATCAATATAACTGAGTATATAACAGATCCAAGAACCTATCACAGGCCAATATATGGCGAAAGTGACAGAGCCATTCAATGAGAAAAGAATGCTGTGTGAATCATATTGGCACAGTAGTTAATCATCTGGCATAAAACAAGATGACATATCTAAAGTTAAAATTTTAATCTTCATATCGTAAAATAAATTCCAAGGTTTTTAAAGATTTAAAATACAAAAAAAGAAAATTACAGGGAACAGAAAAACATTAAAGAGGGAAGGCCTTCCTATAGAAGCCAGAAAAAACACAAACCATGGGGCTCAGAATTTTTTGTTTGGTGTTTGTTTGTTTGGGGATTTTTTGTGGCCCACACCCTAAACCCTAAATGTGTTTAAAAACATATTGTCTAAAAGGTTTGCTATCGACATATAAGTAATCTCATATAGAAGGGCTTAGTGACCCTTGGATGAAATATAACACTCTTCACACACTCTCCTCTAAGGAAAGTTTTTTGGAGCATTTTCAGTGATTTATTCACAACAAAATACAAAATAAATTATTTCAGTTGTGCTTTGAGGCAGAGGTTGGGGTTCGGGATGGAAATATCCGAAATATGATAGTGGGAAAGGGAAAGTGTAATGATGGGATTAGTGTTCGAATATTAAGTGTGATCAAATATTGTGAGCTATTTTATAAAAATAAAATTTAAAACAATAAAAGGTTTGCTATTGATGATAGGGATAATAATGCTAGCCTTCTTTGACCAATTAAGCGCAGGTGTTTTTTTTCTTTTTGGGTCACACCTGGCAATGCTCAGGGGTTGCTCCTGGATCTGCACTAAGGAATCACTTCCTAGTGGTGCTCTGGGGACCATATGGGATGCTGGGAATCGAACCAGGGTTGGCTGAGTGCAATGCAAACGCCTTACCTGCTGTGCTATCGTTCCAGCCCAAGCACAGGGGTTAAGGTGTTTGCCTCATATGTGGCTAACCCCTGTTCTAGCCCTGGCACAGCATGCCCCCCAGAGCATTGATGGATGCAGCCCTGGAAGTCTGAAACACCACTGGGATGGTCTGAGTATCTCCAGCACAACAGGCTGATCACTTTGAACTGCTGGCCCTATAGACCAAAAATTACCAGAAGGATAGCATGCCTGGGCCTCCTGAATAGCACTTGGGACCCCCTCCCACCCTTAAAAGAAAATCATATAGAAAACAGAAACATCACAATGTTTTTAAAAAAGCCACACATATAACAGACAAAACATTACTGTCCACACGCATATAGAGTGATATATAGAATTATACCCACAATTGGATGTGCACAAATTTGGATATATCAATTTGCTCGAGCAGGCCCAGTAACATCTCCATCCTGAGACTTGTTACTGTGTTTGGCATATCCAATACGTCACGGGTAGCTTGCCAGGCTTTGCCATGCGGGCAAGATACCGGGCTCTCCAAGAGGGGCGGAGGAATCGAACCTGGGCCAACCGGGGTTGGCCACGTGCAAGGCAAACGCCTTACCCACTGTGCTATCGCTCCAGCCTGAATTTGGATATATATACATATATATTATGTATCTATATACATCTCAGTTCTCAGCTAACCACCATACTCTACCTGGGCAATTGCATTGTCATGGTTTTAACTGTGAACTATATGCAGATCACACCAGCGTAGATTGCTTTTCCTTTTAATCCATTGTATATATCTTCTAGCAAGATCTCAGTTTCCTACTAATCCTGTTTATCTCATCTCTCTGCACATCTCTGCAGTACCCATTTTAAATCTCTACAATCCTCAAAGCTCCAAATGTACCACCCTTTTCTCACTTAAAGTTTCTGCATGTGATTTTACTTTCTTTTGCAAAAAGAAAACAGAATTCCTCATAGAGAATTCTTTATTCTAGAAGAAAACAGTAGACAAACATATTTATGTATTCAACTATCTTTCCCCTCTCTTTTTCATTATTTTCAACTTTAATTTTGTTATTTATTTATTTTCCTTGCGCAGGGGCCATGCTAATCTTCTCTGTATCGTTCCAATTTTAGTATATGTGCTGTCGAAGTGAAGGAGGCGTTGGTGGTATAGTGGCTAGCATAGCTGCCTTCCAAGCAGTTGACCCGGGTTCGATTCCCGGCCAACACAGAATGGGTCTTTGGCTGGAGCGATATAGCACAGCGGTAGGGCGTTTGCCTTGCACGCAGCCAACATGGTCGACCCGAGTTTGATTCCTCCACCCCTCTCGGAGAGCCCGACAAGCTACGGAGAGTATCTCGCCCGCACGGCAGAGCCTGGCAAGCTCCCCGTGACGTATTCGATATGCCAAACACAGTAACAACAAAATCTCCAATGGAGACGTTACTGGGCCCGCTGGAGCAAATCGATGAACAACGGGAGGGCCTTTACCTTTTACCTTTACCTTTATTTATTTATTTTATTTTATTTTTAATTTCTATTAGTGAAACACCATGAGGTACAGTTGTAGACTTAAAAATTTCTGTGCTTGGGTTTCAGTTATACAATGATCAAGTACCCACCCCTTCACCAGTGCCCATTTTCCACCACCACGGGTCCCAGGGTCCCAGTATCCCTCCCACCCCATCCCCCCCATCCCACGCTGCCTCTGTGGCAGGGCATTCCCTTTTGTTCTCTCTCTTCTTTTGGGTGTTGTGGTTTGCAAAAGAGGCATTGAGTGGCAATCAATCATGTTTGGTCTATAGTCTACTTTCAGCCTGCTTCTCTAATCCTGGGAGGATCTTCCCAACTCCCTTTATTTGGTGCTCCCTTCTCTATCTGAACTCCCTTTTCCCCTAGCATGTGTGGCTGGCCTCCAAGCCATGGAGCAAAATTCCTGGTACTAATCTCGGCCACTCTTGTCTTTCCTCTCTCTTAATCCAAAGAAGTGTATTCCAAGAATTATATTACACTCAGCCTTATGTAATAAATTCATTATTTCTAAGGTCTCAATACTTTCTATATGCTGGTATCATGCTTATGGAGATAGCACAGTGAGCACGGTGCTAGTCTTGCATGAGGCTAACCTGATTCAATCCTGGGACTCCATATTGTTCCTTCAGCACTACCAGGAGTTATACTAGAGAACGGAGCCAGTAGTAAGCAAATAAGCACTTCCAGGTGCGACCCCCAAATAAAACAAAACCGTACTGAAAATACAATTTATAATTCATAAAAATCAACCTGTTCTTAGTAAACAATCCAATGAGTTTTGGTGCATTTACACTATTGGTAAGTCATCACTACAATCCAATTTTGGTACTCTGTTTAGTATTTTAGTAATCCATGACCACCAAAGATCCCTTTTTCCCATTTATCACTCTCTTCCTAAACCCTTCTTCTGATTTATACACATATGGTTAAATGCTTGCTAGACCTTGTATTTGAAGGATCCCAGGCATTGCTAACTCCAAGTTTCCAAACCTGAACTCATCTCATTCCCACATCTTTCCATGAAATCCTATTCTCTCTCATTCTCCTTCAATGAATGAGAGGCAGACTTATTACTTTGAAACCTTGGGCATTATTCTCTTTTTCAAACCCCACATCCAATTAACCATTGGATTAACTGATGAAACAGAATTAATTGAAACATGATCCCAATCTATCCATTTCTATCTCTTATTATTACTTCTCTAGCTCTGTTGGCTAGAATCTCTTTCCTAAATCTGACATGCATCTGTCTATCAAATATGGACTAAAGATCTACTCTGTGGTTAGGAACTTTCCTGGTTCAGTCATTTAACTTGTTCCTCTATATCCTGTCTTATCTTTCTGATATTTTCTTAATCCAGCAGCCAAGGGGTATAATATTTTTCAAAAAGTACTATTTCCATGTTTAAAATTGCCTCCCACTAACTTTAAATTGCCCTTCCCTGACCTTAGAATGAATTTCAAAGTTCTTAAGATGACTGTCCAGTCCTCTGTGATTCAAATTCTTCTTTGCTTCCTTAGTCTCATTGTTTGCCTGAGACACATTACCACACCATCTGAGTTTCCTTATTTGAAAAAAGAAGGTAATATTAGAGCCTATCTTCAAGGAGTTGAGAGGATTAAGTGAGATAATACCTGTAAAGCACTTAGCACAATACCTGAAACATACTGTCTAAAAGGTTTGCTACTGATAATAGTGATAATAATGCTAGCCCTCTTTGACCACCCTCTCTTCTGAATTCCTTCAGTAGTTACACTTGCTATCATACAACTGAGCGGTCAATTATTTTAGTTATATTACTTACTGCTGCTTCATACTATTTGTTCTGTTCGCCTAGCTGGACTTTTAAGTCCTTCAAGACAAGGGCAGTGATTACATACCTCTGTTAGTTCCCTTTAGCACTTAGCACTATGCAAACCACACAGCAGAGTTTAATAAATACCATTTGATAAAGGTCCACAAAAAAAGTGACAAAGGTTTTACAGTAACTTTTTTAAAAGACCATAATAATAAACATCCAAAACCCTGGGAACACCATTTGCTTTCACTTCCTTGGCTAATGACATATCGCTAGGTTAGCAATAGAGTAGTAGGATAGCATTAAACATGGAGTTCAGCAGAACTCAATGTAGGTCAGTGACTTTTTTCATTTGGTTTGCTGTCAAGCTCCTGTTTTTGACAGAAATGAAGTGTGAAAGCATGAAGATGTTTAATTCTACTCTTTGGCATACAGACAGTATGCAATTTGCCTACTCATCTGTGAGATCGGATTTTTACTTCTTAAATATAAATGCGCTCTTTGTGCTACCAATGTAATACAAATCCCATTTCATTCAAAAGCCAATAGAATCCTCCTGAAATGGTTTGGGATTTCTTGGCTGATAGCTGGATGACATGCAAAAATCACAGAATAGCCCATGGGAACTAGAACAGTCAGAAGTTCTTCGGATACTAGAACACAACTCAAAATCAGCAAGAATGTCATTGTCTGTGCACTACATAGTAAACTGTCACCTTGTAATTGTTTCCCTCTTCCTTTTCACATACCCTTCCCCTTCCCTAAAAAAGATACCTTTATGTGTCTGTACATTGATGTTTCATACCTGTGCATGATTACTCAGTTATAGGTTGGGAGTTGAAGGGCTACGGGTGAACTGTGTGGTATGATATTAGATGAATCCCCACTGATATGATACAGTGTTTTTAGCTAAAGTCTAATTGGTTTCGAACTTGATTCCAAAGCCAGTTGTTATCTTGCACTTGTGTTATTACTATGAAGAAGCTGGAACAAAACTGGGATCCAGAGAAGAGGGATAAAACTTGCTCTAAACAAGACAGGTTGTTTCCAATCAGAGAAAATCAAAAGCAACCAACTTCCTCCAGTTGTGTCCCAGTTTCTCTCCCATATGCAGAAAATACCACGAGCTTGGACTGAAACTTTGAAAAAAAAGAGGTGTCACAGCAGTCTTCACCACCCAGCTTTAACACTGATTCTTTACTAGACTTATAGTGCTCATTCCAATTATACTGTTTTTAAAATATATCCTGTGCCCTGATCCCTGAGATGAACACCCTGGCAGTAATCTAAGAAAGAGGTAGAACATGTTCAAGGGCACTAAGAGGTATGCTCTGTAGAAAAAAATCACAAAAATAAGCATGCCCAAATATTGCTCTAAATGCATGCCTCATTATTCCCACATGGACACATAAATAACATACAGAAGCACAAAAATATATCCTTACCCAATAATAGTCACAATAATTGGCAACTTGCAAAGCACAGCACAGAGAGCCATTGATTGATTAGTTTTACCCGTAATTTTTAATACAGCATGGTTTTTAAGAAGCATATATTCTGAGTAGATACAAACTCTCACTCTACCACTTACACATTGTGTGACTTTGTTCAGATAAGCTACCTGTTCTGGTTCTCAATCTCCCTAATTACAAAATAATAATAATAGCACTGTAGCACTGTCCTCCAGGTGTTCATCAATTTGCTCAAGCAAGCCCAGTAACGTCTCCATCATGAGACTTGTTGTTACTGTGTTTGGCATATCGAATACGTCACAGGTAGCTTGCCAGGCTTTGCTGTGCGGAGGAGATACTCTCGGTAGCTTGCCCCGCTCTCCGAGAGGGGCAGAGGAATCGAACTCGGGTTGGCCAGGTTGACCGCATGGAAGGTACCTTATAAGTTCCTGATGAGGATTAAATGAGATAATACATGGGGGGGACATGGGTGGTGGAAAACGTATACTGGTGAAGGGACAGGTATTGAAACATTGACTGAAACCCAATTATGAACAACTCTGTAACTGTATATGTGTCTCACAGTGATTCAATTAAAAATAAATGAGATAGATAATGAAGCTAATGACTATCAATAATGAGCTAAATGTGTAATAATGGTTTGATTTAGATCAGAAAAGAGACAGTAAGCCTCCTCAACAAATGGTTCTGGGAAAATCGGATAAATACACGTAAGAACTAAAGCTGGATCAGTACCTTAACATTTCACACAACTTCAAAGTGGATCAAAGACCTGTAGATTTGACCAGAAACTATAAAGTACACTAAGAAAAATATAGGCAGAACATTTCAAGATGTGGACCACAAAGGTGCCTTCAATGAACTAATACTACTGGCAAATGCAACAAAATTAAAAATAAACAAATGGGACTAAATAAACTTAAAGAGCTTCTGAATGGCAAAATAAATAAATAAATAAATAAATAAATAAATGAAACAAGCTGAAACTAAAAGAGTTAACATACCAGATAAAGGTTTGATATCCAGGTTATATAAAGCACTCACAAAGATCAACAAAAGGAAATTCAAAAACAGTACCAATAAATATGGAGAGGAAATTAATACACTTCTGAGAGAAAGACTCTCTGAGAGAAAGATGGCCAGTAGGCACATGAAAAAATGCCCAGCATCACTTATCATCAGAGAAATTAAAACCAAGAAGACAATGTGATATCAGCTCACACCAGTGAGAATAGCACATATCAATAATAGTGGGAACAATCTGTGTTGGCAAGGATGTGGTGGAAAATGAACTATCAGTAACTTTGTAAATTATGACACTTCATTGAAAATTGAAAAAATAAGAGTCAAT